TTTYKCGGAAAACGAAAATATTCCTGGCGGAGAACTCCATATTAAGCACAAGCGAGTGTAAGSCTAAGTGTAAATTGGTTAAAGAAGCGTTGAGCGACAGTGGMGCCATGAGATCGAGAACCAGCGAGTGCAAACAAAAGAAAGGCTCAGACCAATGGGTGGGAAGAGCAAAGCATACACTCCACAGGGACCAACAACTTGTTCTCCTGTGGACACGCAAACACGTTGATACAGGAGAACAATGCACCGATTTCAAGAAGGCTARCATATGCAGGAATTCACTGGAAAAGACGATTCAAGAAATTGCACATATGCAGGAATTCAMTGGAAAAGACGATTCTTCGTTACGAAAAGAGATCATATTTACGCTAATCTCATACTTCGTGCCTTCACGGTCGAGATGCTCCCTCTGAATTCAAGTGCAATGCTGAGCGCCTTCTGTGGGTGTCGACTCGCCCTCTGAAGATGTGCGTCACACACGCACGCATTGAGCAAGCGAACAAGAGAGAGAGAGAGAGAGAGAGAGAGAGAGAGAGAGAGAGAGAGAGAGCTAAGTAGCGTGCCTTGTTGTTCGCTACGCCCGTCTACTTCATCTATAGGCAACAGTTCTCGCACTCGGCTTGGGGTGTTCCCGAGCACCGGAAGTGCTACATGCCAGCGTACTCTTTTCCAGGTTTAGAAATTAGAGGACGTGGAAACTCGCTCGCCTGCCAGACATTCAGTACGTACTATATATATATATATATATATAATTATAATGATCGTTGACTGACCAGTTCCACAACTGGCTACTAGTGGCTAGGCCTCCTATTGAGCTCCATCCGCAAAATGCTCTTCGACACACGTCCGATCGCCTGTGTCGGTGATGTGGCCAGTTCTTAGCTGACCGCGCGCCCCTGACAATGCAGCTCCGCGACGATAGGTTAATCCACTAATCTCCAAGTTGAGCCCCTCCCGGTCACTCATTSTGCTTCTCTYCAAGTGGCTTGCTGATGTCGAACGACCGCCCGCCCCTGTTGTTGACGCCTCGTTAAATCAGCTTAGGCCATGCTCACATTACGACTTTCTTCTGAACTGCATCTGGCTGCATTTGCCGCCAGATGCTCCAGAAAAGCCTTAGTACGAGTATGCCCTTAGCACGTATTCCACTTCAGGCTATAAAGCTGGGTGAGCTTCAGATCCGTCGAATCGACGGTGATCAACCCCTTGTTGTTWTYATTCGGCGCGRGTGGAGGCACCACTCTTGCCTCGGATTTCACATTGAGCATCACCGACWTACCGCCACACTCTGCATAGACAAAGGTTGGGAACTCGTCGGTGAACTCAAAGTTGTCKTCCACGGGAGGCGGCAGGTTGCGCRAGACTCTGACTGACCCTGGAACATCTGAGARGTAGTAAGTGGCTGCCAGTGAACCCTTGACGCCTTCCTGGAACTGGGCGTACCCTCGGAATGTCACAGTCCCCAGAGTAAACGTGAATCCAKCAGGATAATTCAGGTTGACGGCCACTTGGCAGWTTTTCCGCAGGTCAGGTGGAGTTCCTGGGGTGAACGCCGTGTAGTTRCTGAAAATTATAGTGAGCGTCTGTCCGTCGGAGGAGACTAGGCCCTCGGCACTTCCAGGCAGACAGCCAGAGCCAGCATAGGTGAAGCTCTCGATCGTTACAGTCTCAGATGGCGGATTTTGAGCAAGTCCAGGAACGGCAAGCTGGAGAAGCCCCAGCAACAGCAGGACCACCATAGCGGCCATCGTAGACACGGACTGGAAGAGCCTGACAGTGCCTGACCCTCTTGGCCTTCGCCTTTCGCCTCACCGTGCTCTTGTCTCCACGCGCGCAGCAACAGATGAGTTGTTCCGAAGATGGCAGCAGATAACAYCCCCCCACTTCGCCGCTCCTGGAGCTGTTCGCCTGGAGACGCCCGCCCCCTGAGCTCCCTCACCTCGGCTGAAATGCCGTGGAAGAAGATACAGCGGACGCCACTTCTATCAGCTCCCGCCTGCAATCCCCAAAGACCACCACGATCACTAAGCAGATCGTAGCGCACTGAACGCAGAGTGGCCGTTAATGCGCCTTTATAYACAGCCCGAGGTGAAGTTTGCCGCTGTCCCCCGAGAGCACACCGYATCAAGATCACAAAAAAAKCATGCAACTGCTGTAAATTGAGGTGCTGGTCCGACAGACTCCTCGTGAGGGTGTGCGTCGTTCGGGGAGAAAAGCAGCTTAGCAGCCTGCAGGGGTACCCTGCGRCTGTGTGGAGAAGACATGCCGATCAAATAAAAACTTGGTGGAAGAGAAACCCGAAAGCGGGCCCAATTCCACGTGTCGGTGTCGACAAGAGAAAAGGGAGGACGGTTGGGCCTCGCTCCACGTCATGCACAAAAGACAAAAATCATGAGAAACCCGAAGGCGGGACCAATTCCACGTGTCGGGTGTCGACAAGAGAAAAAGGAGGACGGTTGGGCCTCGCTCCACGTCATGCACAAAAGATAAAAATCATGGCGGTGTATGCTCAAAAGACAAAAATCATGGCGGTGTATGCACAAAAGACAAAAATCATGGCGG